TCTTGGTGCGACACAATATGTCTTGCTGAATCCAGTCATTGTATGTGAAAAGTCTGAAAAGTTTAAAAAATCGGCAGTCGTGGTGACTTCAATGTCGTATTCTATGCATGAAGACATGCGCAAGGAAAATCTTGAAAATGGGTAAAGGTTGTCAAAGAATAGTGAAACAGTAAAAATAGTGAACCAGTAAAATCAGAACGCGAGCGGTGTGGGTATTTTGAGGACTTGTCGTCAACCGAAATGAGGGGTGAAAAAGATCCTCCTGGGCTGGAAGGGTTGAATTAAATGAAGCTGAGCGGTGGCTTTGCATCGCTTTTCCAGGCAATCCCTTCAATCCTTGAATGCTTCGGGTGCGCCACCCAGCATTTTCCTGGAGTATATTTTACAATCCCTTCGCCGCGGAGCAGCAGGTCATTCGCAGCGGATTCGCCCCCATGAGTTACTTTCTGGCCATGGCCATAAGCTTTGATCGTCAAGATGAGGCCGCTGCGGTTCTTGGTCGTGTTTGAAGCATTGAATAACACTCGTGCGGCTTCGGCAACATCATGTGGCTCGTAGTTCGATAGTTCGAAAGCCTGGCAAAAGAAACCTACATTGTGGTCGTCGTGCAGAACTGATCTCACAATTTCTCCTGCTTCAAGTATGGAGATGATGTTTCCCTCTTCGCTAACATGTGCCGCAAAGATGTGTTTAATCGGTGGTATATTCAAAGCTTCTCTCCTGGAGGGAGGATTGGGGCATCGCCCCTGCTCGCTAGTGTGGGGATGGTGAGTAGTAGGAATGAGTGATGTTCATCTTTGTTGGTGTCATCGTTCCATTTTGTGTGTGTGAGAAGTTGCATGTCTGTAAAGTGGGTGCTGTTGAGATGGGCAGCGCTGAGCACTTTGGCCACGTAGGAGATCATGGGTTCATTGTGAACGTCGAGTGATTGTGCATACTGGTTGATCCATTGGAAGACATCCAATTGGGCTGGATCAGTGGGTGGTTGGAATTTTGGAGAAGGTAGGTTGTGAGGACGTCGTTGGACTGGTATAGTTGGTGGTGCTGCGGGCGGTGGTGTTGGTGCCTTTTTGGTGGTGTGCTTGGGTGTGAAAAGTGGATTGGGTTTGAGTATGATGCCGGAGGTACGGTGGGCTGATTCTGGAGTGTTTTTGGTAGTGGTGGCAATGGTGATGCCTTTGGTGGAAGTGTGGGTTTTGTCGTGGATCAAGTCCGGCGGTGGTGATGTACGCCTGTCAGCAGGCGTGGAATGTGGTTGTGAACTGGCTACTGATTGGGTAGCTGAGCCTCGTCGTCGTGGCAGTGGAGAGCGTGGAGTGCGTGCTGAACGAGTGCGGCTCCTGGATCTGGATGTGGCTTGTGATGGCGCAATGGTGGGAATGGCAGGAAAGGCTGAATAGCGGTGGTGTTCAGGTGTACGTGGAGGCGATCGATCTGGGTCTCGCCATATGCCTCTCGTGGCGCTGAGTGTGGGTGCAATGGATGGTGTCGGTTTTGTTGCGCGTGTCACGCTGGGTGGTGGTGGAGGTTGAGCAGGTGTGGTGATGGATGCTGAAGCGGGCTCCGTGGAAGCTGGTTGGGTGTGTGGTGGTAGCGATTTCCGCGGGGGTAGTGGTGTGTACTGGATTTGCTGAGGGAGGTGGTGGGTGTGATGGTGGTGGTGATTGGCTTGTGGAAAGTGGTGCATGTGGTTGGGGTATCTGTGTCGAAGGTGTGTGGACTTGAGACTGCATTGGCTGTGTTGCGGGCGGTGGATGCGGTTGTGGATGCGGTTGTGGATGTTGGGTGTTGTCAAAGTGGACAGTGGGTTGTACTGGATAATGTGATGTGTGTAGTGGATGTGGCTGCATATAGTGTGCTTGAGGTGGAAAAGTCGTGGGATGTGGATAAACGTGAGGGATTGAATGATGTGATGGAACTGGTGGCAGTGTTGGGTATGGTTGCGGCGGAGCTTGTGGTGGGTAAGGGAACCAGTGTGGTTGTGTGGGCTGTGGTTGCGGCTGTAGGTGTGGTGGTAGTGAATACGGCCAGGGATACGTCATGGCTGCTCGGCAAATCGAATGAGGTCGATGTATGTATGTTAATATGTAGATCAAAGCAGTCCTTGAACTTGAACTTGAAAAAGTTGTATGACAGAATACAATATGATGCTGCAAAGTGGAGGAGTGTGCAACTGACTTTAATTGAATCTCTGAAATTGACAATTGAAAAATTAATAAGAGAAGGATTCTCGGGTGAAACTGAAGCAGTCAAACTCTGCAGTATATTTCAGTGGAAGTCTCAGTGAACTCTGCAGTAAACTTCACGTGTGACGGGTGAGACAATCCAAGCAAGCTGATTTCGAGCAGGAAAGTTCGGTCGAGTGAACTTCAGTAAAAACTTCAGGAAACTTACTCCTGCGATGAGGAGTGAGAAAGTTCTTGCAGTAACGGCGCCCCGCAGGGATCACACAGCTTACCACAGTGGGAAGAAGCTGCGGAAACACACTTGAGAAGGTTGCTCCGTGGAGCTTGTCTTCAGGCTGTTCGCGGTGAGCATTAGCACTTTACATTTAGGTACTGCATTAGCTGAATGCATTAGCACTTTACTGCAAAACAACGTATGAGACAGCGTTGAACTGACTTAGAAGCATCACTGAATGAATATTAAAAGGTTGCAGGTACGCTGGGATGATCAGTCCCAGTATCACCAAGGCTTAGAGAGCGTCTTCGTTGGTGGTAGACTCTCTGCCTTGCTACCACCCCCTGCTGCTGCTGTACAAAGGTTCAGAAAGTCATAGGAATAGAAATAGCTAGATTAGTGTCCTTGGAAACAGGAGTGGACACACACACAGAGACACACATGCTGCTAAGTCAAAGCAACTGCTGAAAAGGAATCCGCCAAGACTTCAACAAAGAGGGTTTCGATGCATACTGCGCGGCATTCTGCCAGCTGAGAATGCCCCATGTTGGCAGACCTTCAGCACTCGGTACGCAGTCGTACGGAGCTATGGCGCGCTCGACCCGCGAGCGCAGAAGCATCCCCACGTGGCAAGTCGGTTCGAGCAATGGCTGTTTCTTTTGGAATTCATGTCCTCCTCGCGTGAACTGCCATGATCTTTCTAGTTGCAAGCTTCATTGGTCGGCCATGTTTGTTGCGCTTTTGCTTCCCTTCTACATGATTTCAATAATTGTTCCGAACGTTCTTAGCAACCGTGAGATGCTTCAAGCAACCTCTTTTCATTTGGTTTGGATTCTCTAAGTTCATTGATACGTAAGTGGCATGCACTCCCTGCGTCATATTTTCTAGCACTGGGGCTCTTCTTCAGCTATTATCATCTCACATCAATGAATCTATCAATCTGAATCTATCCTTTTTTCATCAAAATGAATGCCTTTGGCGCGAACACCTCCAGAAAGGAAAAACTAACTCTCGTGCGTTCAGCAATGATTTTCTTCTATGCGTTGCAGCAAAGGCAAGTGAAGTGCATTAGGCAGGAAGTTTCTTGGTTGGCCTATGAAATCTATTAAGGTGGTGACTACTTGTAGCACCAGCTTTCTTTTCCGATTTAGACAACTGCTGCTTGACAATGAAGAAGACATTGACGATGACCAATCGTTCCTTGGGCGCTTCGCCTACGGCATTCCACCTGGGAAGCGCCCAGTCTCCAATATTCTTTCCGGCGCCGTAGACGCCCTCGTAACCCACCGGAGATGCGGAACTCGGAACAATATGGCACTAAGGAACGTAACCAGAGGCATCTGCATCCTAAACGACTGATCCATTAATCATGTTAGCTCCTCTAGTCACGCGTCTCTCCGCGTCTTGCGCTTTGCTGCCGGTTCCGTTGCTTTGTTATTGGTAAAATTCAGTCCTGTCCGATTGAAGACCTGCAGACAGGCCAGCTTGAGCCCCAAGTACCCATTTAAAAAAGCCTCCCCAGTCAAAAAACACCATGTCCGAATCCCTAAGTACGGCTTATATGCTTTTAATTACCGCCCTTTCAAGCCGCTACTAAACTACCAACATGGTCGATTTTTGGTGTAGTTGTTTACTTACAGTAGGTTTCAAAAACAACCGTAACTGCCCACCTCTGTCCGCCCTGTGTATCCACCATGACACGCCGCATTTACACCAGCAGGTTTTCCTTCCCCCAATGGCACGGACTCACGCAAATGCACTTGCCACCGAGGTCGCGCAAAACCGCATGGCACAGTGACATCACCTTTCGAAAGCTTTAGTTGTTAGTCTAATGGTGAATCAGTATTCTAATAAAGATTTTTGTAGGGGAAAATGAAGACCCTTCGATCTGGAGGTTTATTGAATTTTGCTGGATGACTTTTTGGTTTTGAAGCTGTTCCCGTTCCCCGGTGTCCCTATTTTGGACCCCCCCGATTTCAGGGACCCCCTATTTAAATAAATGCGACCGAGTTTTTCTTAATAGGGGGTGAGGGGGGCCCTCGTGTTCTTTAATAGGTAGAAGGGATTACTATATACACTGTATTATATGCAGTTACTCTTATGCAAACTCAACCATCCAGGTATTCCTGTGCATTTGAGCCGAGCATAAGGCTGCTTCAGAGGCGGTAGCAAAGCCATGACACAACTGAGTGAAGCAGCAAGTCATCAGCTTCGTCGCATTGAAACCATGAAAGTCAAAATGCAAAGCACTGGAGCCACAACTTTGAACAAAACCATCAACAATAGTGACAAGCAGCACAAACAAAGATGCTGCAAACGACCAAACAATTAATGCCAAATGAGCGGAGTCGATGACTTCGGAGCTTTCGTCTTTTGAAAGTGTGGCAGGACCATTCACGTGGCTTTCTCTGGCTGTTGGAGTTTGGGATTTTGTTGATCTGTGCTTTGTCTCCAAGAGTTTCGGCTCAACGGGTTGTCCTTACAGTTGCGTTCAGAGTTCCTGGTATGTCAAAGCTTAGGGTATCTTGGGGTCAGCACAAGTGCACGAGGGTGCGACAAAACTGGCAAAGTGATGAAACAAAGTCGAGTGCTTTAAAGCTTTATGATGTTTGATGATGAATCCACAAATACCCACGATTTGCGATGGAATCCTTTGACCATATTGCTTGTGCAGGCATGTCAAGATTGATCCCTTTCCCATCCTGGTCAGCACCTGCCAGCCCACCATTAGGAGTCTTTGAGTGCAGCTTGATGATGCGGCTGACCAAAAGCGGCTGGTCCATCACCAACAAACGTCTTTCCTTTGCTTCCTCTTGAGTTGATGCTTCAAAGCTTGGCAAAACATAGAAGCGATATCCCAAATTCTCGCTGATCGCCTCAGTGCCAAGACCGCTCGGGGCAGAGCGGTCGGTCTGCCCGCTCGCCTTCTCCGGTCGGTCCGATGAGACCTTGTCTGTGTCATAAATGAATTGCCAGTCAAAGCAGTCTCCACTGATCTCAATGATTGTGGATGTGTTGCTCACTGCCTTGGATTGAAGACTTTTGTTGAAAATTGCCACTTGCTCGCCTCCAACAAAGAGCTTCACGGCACCTCGTCCTATGGGTAAAGGATCAAAATGGATATGCATGCTAGTGGCCATAGGCACCTGGCATCGAAAGATCTTCGCTGAGGGATGCCTCATCAATTCAGACGACGTGTGTTGAGACTCCACGAATCGTGTGGGGCAGTCCTCAAAAGCAACCATCCGAATGAGTGTGCGCAAAATATTGCGCACCAGCTGTGGGTCGGAGGACTTCTCCAAGTGCGGCGAGCCCTGAGCCAGGCCCTGAAGGTTGAATGCAAGAGCCTCAGAGAACTTGGACAAGTTTGACCGGACGATGTTGACTGTCCCGGACAATGCTCCAATAATGACCTGCTTATCTTCACTTCCAAGCTGACCAAGACTGCTTTGCATCACCTCAGTCTGGTCGTTCCCTTCGGCATGTACCAAACCGCCGGTTCCATCGTCGCTTGCGAGATGGACGGAACCCCCTACTGCGGCCAGCTCATCAATGGCCTGCGACAAGGTCTCCATCAAAGCAGGGGCATCTTTCGCAGAAAGCAAACTGCTCCGCAACCGCATCGTACGAAAAAGTGCCAGTGCTGCTACTCGCCGAGTGGCCCAGGTTGCTAGGCGTTGGGTAGATTTCAGGATCCTGGTAGAGACAGAGCTGAAAACGGAAAGGCTGTCATCATCCTGGAGCTTCGGTGGATTACACACTTCTTGCACCAAAAGCGCCATGTAACCTTCCCGCATCAATTGGTCATAAGTATGAGGATAGCGTAGCAACATCTCAATGACCTGCAGGGCCATTTGCTTTTGCTCCAAGGCTTGGGTCACTTCATTGGAACTGCCACCGAGCGTAACATTGCAAATGGAGTGTATGGCATGACCCAGTTCTCCACCGCGTCGGCCGATCACCTTCCACAGCTCATCCGAGGCACTTAGAGAGGCCAACAGAAGCATATCACCTGGCGGAACAAACATGGGGTGTCATCCCATCTCAGACTCTGTGTGCCTTGAAAATATTGATATAAAAAAGAAAAGCAAAAAATTGCATAAAATAGAATCAAACAAAAAAAATCTCCACCATCCAATAGAAACCCTTGGTGTTTTGGGGGGGGCGAATAAGTATGGAAAAGATGGAAAAGGAAGAAAAGAGAGCAAATCCACCATCCTTTTGGGTTCTTGCCAAATCCTTTTGGGGGTCTCTCTCTTCGCCCCAGTCGCCGGGAAAGCTGCAAAGACCGGTCCGTTCCACCGAACAGCCCGCTGCCGCGATCTCGATGACCTTCCGGGAGACCTCCAGTGAGCGCGCTTGTGTCAAACGCGCGAGGATACGGCGTCGGACGCGTTCGTTGGCTGGATGATCAAAGGGGATCGACTCCATCTCGGCCATGTCTGAGTAGCAGCAGTAGATGGAAGAACGTTCCCCAGGAGTGGGAACCTGAATGTTAGGCTCCATGGAAGGCCAAAGAAGCAATGGGAAGCTGAACTTGGAGAAACGATCCTGCGGTTTTCCGGGAAGCTGGTAAACCAGTTGGCCATAGGAACACTGCGTGAACAACGGTGGTAATGAAGAAAAGTGCTGGCCGGAATTTCCCACAAACGCTGCACACCGCAAGCTGTGTCGATGTTGGAGCCGGAGGATTCGAGCATCCAGGATCATGTCATTGATGAAGACGTTGATCCAGCATGTTCGGGTCTGAAGCTCAAAGGTTGCCTGCAAAGTGACCACACTGCCACGTCGACGTAGTGCGGCCTTTGCAATGGCCTTCTTGTCTTCAACCACATGGTCCAATCGGTGGTCTGGGCTCTGTTGCATCAAGCGCTGATCCACAGTGGCTTCCAAATCAAAGCAATTGAAGCGATAGAACTCTCCTCCCGCTTCATCAATAAGGCCAACCCAGCACTGCTCCCGCTTCGTCTGCCCATTCAAGTCAGAAGAATGATGGATGACCCAAGTAAACTGCTGTGCAGCATGGTGCTCGTGGCAAAGCCGAAAGCATGCCCAGCAACCTTTTCCTGCTGGGACGCCAGCCTTGACAGCAGCTTCCGGAACCGTGGCCCTGATCTGGGTGGACGAGAACTTTTCAGCCGCCACTCGAGCTGTGTAGGATGGAGCTTTGATTTTCTCCTTGGCCTCCGCGCTGGATGCCGCGCTGGAAGCCGCTTGGGCGTCTCGGGACTGTACGAGGCCGAGTCGAAGGGAGGGATGAGGGGACACGAAACGAGGGACATGCTCCACAGAACAAACCATGGCACCCACGTAGTCGGTGGTGACTGCGAGGCGGCTACGGAGGGCGGGAAACATGGTGAAGTTCCGCCCAGTGACTTTGGCACCAGGCAATCGTTCTTTCGGAATCAAATCTAAGAGGTAGCCGCGATCCTCGTGGATGCACGCCGCAACTGTCATGGTGTAGATCGTGTCACCAGCTGCCAAAATTGGATCTGGAGCCTCTGAATCCGCATGCCTTGCCATGACCTTCTCGATTCCAGGCGAAGTTTTCCAGGCGCGAAAATAGTGGATGTCGCACAACAAGTTGCTCGTCACGTGTTTTTTCGTCACCTCGAAACCAACATAGCCATCCACCGAATGCCGCTGATCAACTTTGCTGTAGTCCGCTTCGACTTTGCGAGCTGGTGCCCCATCCCAGGAGCAACCAAGCTCTGTGTGGCCCTCCACATATGAAATGGCAACATGTAGCCAATCGCCTGCCATAGGTGGTACCATTAGCTGTGTTGTCTGCCCGTTGTAGCAGAATACAAGATGCCAGGCCTGCTGTTTGCCAGTAGCTTCTCCCGCCAGCATGCCATCATCAGCTGAAGTGATATTGGATACCTCCAGTGAAATTCGGAATTGGTCTCTATCAGCAGTGCCCTTCTTGGCAAAGCAGCCCAAGATGCTTTGGCACTTTGCACCCTCTTCAAGCAACGCATAGCCCCGAAAACGAAGTTTGAAATCAATCGTGAAGTTGTCCTCCGAGATTCCCAAGCGAAAAGGCAGTTGTGTGACTGTCTTCAAGCTGCCAAAATTCAAAGCATACTGTCGCAGTCGGTGGGGCACCACAGCCTCTGCATCGATGATGTTCATCAGAAGGTCAGTGGCTGCCATCCGCAGGCCACGAACGAGGTCTTGTGCTCCCTTGTCTCGCCCATGTCGCTGCAAATGAGACCTGGCACTTTGGCTTTTAATGAGCAAATATTGCAACTATCAAACCGAGAGCTGGTGCCTTTCAAAGCACCCCCGATTGTTGCTTTCTTGTCGTTTTACAAGGTCTTTAAATTATCAAAGAACACCCCCTATGTGCGGACAAATGTCCAGAAGTACAGTACCTCGTTTGTGTCAGGTCACAAGATATTTAAATATAATATGATATATTGTTAAGTATATTATGTTATGGTTTTCATGATGATCTGATGATCATCCACAAAACAAAAAAGAAGTTATATAGCATTATATAACGCTCAACATCCTTTCACGTTTTTTGAAGGTTGGAACATGGTGCTTGCTTCCGTGCAAACCACTTTGTCAGTATCCTCCTATGGTTTCCTCAGGTCTGAGTCTCAGTGCAATCCAGGCATGCTTGGGACAGGTTCCACCTTTCAAGAACCCCGCCTGGAGTTGAGAACAGCAAAGAGCTGGGTATCCACCTGGTGCCACCGGTCAGAAATCACAAGCCACATAAGTGGCGATGGTTGCTGTTGGTGGTATGGATACATGATTGACTCCTTGCGCTCGTTCGCCTCTTCCATCATTGGAATGTTCTTCTCAGTGGGCAACATGTGGCGTGACCGGAAGTATGCATTGTAAACCTGGCTCTTTGTAAGACCTTCGTCGTGGTAAGTCATGTGAGCAAGGAGGCCTTCCATGATGCTGATGGAGTTCTGGTATCGGAGAAGGTCCGGGGGGAGGAAAGCCTACAAAACAAACGGCACGTTGTGGCTCAGGCGCAAGGGATGAGAACTGCATAGTGCCCTGCAGTTTTGCATCAACAACCTTCTCCCCCCTGCACATATGCTGAAATCACTCGATGTTGGACCACTAAGGCCACGTGCACCCAAACTCCAGCTTTCACCAAAGAAAGCTCATGCGCCGTTTTGCCATCCGCCACTTGTTCTTCATTGTCTGGCGCTCTCAACTCATTGCCCACCCAAATCTCCAGGCGCCCATCCTGCCCATGGATGCCATGACCAGCTCCCAAGGCAAGGGAGATGACAGGTGTGCCACTGGCTGTGGGCATGAACACACCCATGAGGAAATAGGATCGACGTCCTAATTCTCCTCGTGATGTTGGATCCTGCATGTAGACCCAAAAGCTGAAGGCAAAGGGCGGATGAGCAATGCATTGACTGGGCAAAGCAAAGGTAAGGCTCTGTGGCGGAAGGCCTTGGTAGCACTTGGTGGTTTTGGCATCAGGTTGCTCCATGCACAGCTTTGAAAACTTCACCATCTTGAATAGCCGCTGTTCCCTGAAGGGCCGGGCACTCAAAGCAGAGATGGCTCTGAAGCAAGAGGCGCGCAAATGCGGATCAGTGGAGCTCAGCAAAAGTGTCACGAACTTGAAAAGGTCCGAAGATTTCAGCTCCTCTGGCAGAGCCTTTTCCTTCTCACCTTTACCAAGCTCTATGAAGTCACGTGGCCGATTCTGTGTCTCCATGAAGGTCGGTTGGTGGCCTTCGGACAGGAGCAAAGCATACATATCAGCCACATGGCACAGCACCTTCGCATGCGGCGCTCGAAGTACCCCATCTTTGGTAGCTGCCGAGATATAACCAAGCAAGGCAGAGAACGGTGATGGTACCACTTCTTCTAGCACCTCCTCGACTGTTTGAATCTCCATCTTTGATGCTTTGGCTGTTGTGGCCATGGCAGCGATTTCGAGTTTTTTGTTCCTGACTTCCAACTTGTCATCTGGGATACCCAGCAATTGTGCCAAGACATACGAGACCGTCCTCAGCCAATCTTCACGAGACCGTCTTCGCTTCATAATGTCCAGAAAGACGGGAACATGTTCCCAATCAGGGCCGCCCAGCATCGCGTCTCGAAAGATCAACGATCGGGACAACGTCAGCATGGTTTCACCGGCGACGCGCGCCTGCTCCTCGAGAAGAAGCAGCTCAGGTTCACCAGGCCGTGCGGCTTCCAATCTGTGAATGATGTCAAGGACCAAGCGTAGGAACGGAAACACGGGCACTGTCTCTGAATTCAAATGTTCGAGTTTCTCTTCAGAGGACTCCAATTCCTTGGCCAAGACCGAATAGCCCCAGTTGCATGCTTGAATCACTGCGAGGGGTACTCCGCGGATTGCGGCATCAGCAGGGTCAGAGGAGGGAAGCAGCATCTTCATGATCTCCTCGAAGTGTCCATTTGCAAAAAGCTCGTCGATGGACGTCCGTGGAATTGAGCGAAACACAAAGACTGGGACGGCTTTCAGCACAAACTCCTCCTTTCCGTCACCTTTGCTGGTTGCACGGTCAAAACCACTGAAGATCCTGCCTTGGGAGATTTTGGCAAAGCCAGGCTTAAAGGTGACCTTCACCACATCCCCTGCAGTGCGGGTGCTCAGTTGAACTCGAGCCTGGTCCTCAATCCTCAAAGCCATCGCCTCCTCTGGGCCCGTTGGAGTCAAGAGAATGTCAGTATTCATGGCCTTCTTGCTTTCCCACATGACCTTTACACTAATGGCCCCTGGCATTTCAAAGGGCATTGCAGCAAAGATCTTGGTGCCATCATCGCTCACGCTCTCTAAAGTGGTGTCCTGAGGATAACGCTTCACAATCTCTGTCACCAATCCAGTTGATAAATAGGTGAGGACCATTCTTGAGGCAAATGTGGCCACTGAGTCTGCTGCATCGGAGTGCCCTTTGCTTCTCAAGGTCTTGGAAGAGTCCAACAAACGCCGCAGCGAGTCTGTCAGCAAGGAGTTTTGCTCGGTGCTAGGCAAATAGCGGAGCAGCGAGAGCAAGGAATCAGGGACCTGTTCCAGTGCTGCTAGCATTCGCTTTGCTGCAGCAGATGCACTTGCAAGCGCACCCTGCGCCAAATGCACTACCAGTGGCACAAGAATCTTGGGGGAGCAAGCACTCCGCACCAAACGAAGATCTCCCGCATCTCTCTCCCCGCTCTCTGGTATTGCTTGCTCTGCCGCGCGCACCAGCCAGCGAAGCGTCTGCGCGACCCATCGCTGTCCTGGAAGTCCACCCAGCTCTAAGACCTGAACCACGACGACCCAGAATTCATCCGCGATTCCAGCTGCCGTGGTGAGCTCGGTCAAGACCCTCTCATTGAGAATCAAGTCCAGCACAAAGTCTCGAACGGAGGCTTTCCAATCGAGCGCACGACGCAGAAATCTGGGACGCAGCAAGCGCAACAAATAGACCAGAACGCTGACCCGTTCACCATCACTGATCATCAAGGCAGCCTCCCGCAACAGCCTCTCTGCTGGGGATTCTCTTGAGTCGCGTGCCTTGGTGTGTTGTGGTACGAAGACCAAGTGTGCGAATTCCTCTTCTAAATCCTCTTTCTTCACGTTCTGCACTGGGGAAGCCAAAGGCATCAATACCTGTAAAAGGTCCTGTCCAGCGAACAAAAAGGAACCCCTTCTAGTCACTTACTTCATCTTACTTCTATCCTATGTTGTTTCTCAATAGATGTTGTCATCTGCAATTGTGCCCAAAACAATTGAAAAGAAGGACCTCAAAAATGCTCCTACGGTCGGTGCAAACCTAGCTGTCTAGCAGTCCTCCACAGCTTCATCCTCCGGATGCCCCAGCGCATCCAGAAGCCTTGGAAGCATCCAATACTCCTCCGAGCTCTGACCACGTGGTCGAGTCGTCAGCTCAATGGTGTCCTGTCAAGTGACTGCGCAGTGCGGGGGTAGCCGGGGTAGCTGGAGAGCTCGTGCTTCAAGGTGTGTCAACACTTCTTTGACCTTGTTTGCTTCGATGCTGAGGCTGAAAAACGCCCTTGGAATGCTCGTCACATATATGTTTATCTATCACTTGTTCATACACTGTGGATGGGTGCCAATGGCTTGAGAGAAACACCGTCTATATAGATGGTTGGCCAACTCTTCAAGCGGGACAACTGCCAGCCAGCGCAACGCTAGAATTTCTGCAAATTGAAAAAAACGCCATTCTATAAACACTGTTGGGGTCATTGCTTGCCACTTCTGGCCAGCCTTTTGGTTTGTAGTATTTTCTAATATGTTCTATATGCATGTCTCGCCGCGGAAGTCTCCTGCGGAAGTCTCCAAAAGAGTGTGTTCAGAAAGCGGGCAGTCGCTTTCTGCAGGTCGCGTTTCTTCGATGAGATGAGGTCTGCGAAGGTGCGCCAAAGAAAGAAGGGTTTCTCCCCATCCACCACCACACCATCATGGTATTGATTCTCAAGAATGGCCTGCTCACAAGCGTTGATATCCCTGGCCACCACCATTGTTGCCAGCCCAACCACAGAGACCTGCACATCTTCTGGCACACCAGTGCTGATGGATGAAAGGAGAAGGCTGACAGCACCAGCATCATGCGCGGGTTTGATGGAGGTCGGTACTTCTCTGCTTGTGGATGTGCCATCTGGTAGCAGGTCAGGCGGCGGCCTAGTCCTTAGTACTTGGAGGAATTCTTCAAAGCCGTCCAAAGGTGTGAATGCAGAGTGTGCAATTCGCCTGCATAGGTCCAGGAGCATGTAGCGTGTGGCCAAAGGCGTACTGGGTGAAAGCACCGCCTCGTACAGCAACGGAAGCAAGTGTTTGTCCGGGTAAAGCACGTTGTGCAGGAGTTCGTGAGAGACCAGGCGGCAAAGCCAGTCAGATTGGAGAGCCGTTTGCACCAGCAGGGGAGCCAGAGATGTGTACATCTCTGGCAGGTTTAGCTCAGCCAAAAGCACAATAATATTAGCATAGACCTCATCTTTGTAGCGGCTGTTGTACAAAACGGCATTGGCAAAAGCCACCAAGCGTGAGGGTTCAGCGCAATATTTATGGCCTGACTTCTTGACCGGAAGCTCCAGAGGCGGCTCGTGCACGGAAAGGACTCTCACTTCAGTGTCGGTCATCATCTTGGGCTGTGAGGATTGAAAATGGATCCAAACACGGTTGGTCTGTGTCGGCGCCCCAAGTTCCAGTCTCGGCGAGCTGATATGGCGGCGATCTCGGACATAAACTTGCTCCTGCAAATCCTCCAGCAGGGTCGAGACCTCTCCATATGTCCGCAGTGACATGGGATAGAACTTCTCTGTCCAAACTCGAAGCTTGTCACAGGATAATTCCGCAATGTGACGCCAGCATTCGTAGGGCATGCCCTCTGCAACCTCAAGGTCCTCCATCATCTCAGCGTGCAAGGAGCTTGCCGGCATGAAGTACACATGAGGTACTTCCAAGACCGTGCCCACCATCTTCACCAGTGCCAGCATGGAAGTTTCATCCAACGGCAGCCCGTGGGTCACCTCGTCCATGATATGGTGCAGCTGAAGAAAGAGTTGACGATGCAACCGTGCAGCCAAGGTGCCCACCTAGCAGTGGACGGTGCCAAGAAAATGGGGAGAGGCCCAACCAAATGGGTTTTGGTCTATGTTCCTTCTTCCAGGAGGTCTCTGGGAAGTCTCCCCTTATTTAAAAATATTTAATACACTTTAAGTCTTTAAATTGTCTCTCCATACTCTATACCCCCCACTGTAGATCAGATCATCTCTTTCGTGGACACATGTTGGACACCAAAACTAGTTTCACGTGTTCTGAAACCTATTCGACAACACCACCTTCCCCTTTCGAGGACCGGGGACTCTATTAGACTAATTATTAGACCTTTCTTCCTGTTCTTTGTCCGTTTCTATTACCGATGGCCTCCCCCCCGGCCTGTTCCAACGCCAAACGTTCCGCCTTGTCTTGCCTCGCCCGTTCCTCTCGCTCCTCAGCCGTGAGTGTGGCACCGGACTCGAGCGACTTTCGCTCGCGGCGCTCGCGCTCTCGCCGCTCCACCTGCAGAAGTCCCTTTCCCACCAACTCCAAGACTTGAATGACAGCGCCAAGTCCTTGGTCCACAAGGAACTCCTGTAAGTCTTCTTTGTAGATGATACCATCCTCATTGACCATCCGCGACATGATGGCATCCAAAACCAAAGCCAAGGTTGCAGGAGACTCTTGTTTGGCGCGAAGCACCAGCACCGCCAGCCTGGCTGAGATGGTTTGGCAATTCTTGATCACATAATCACTGAAGTCGATGGGGCTATCTGAGTATCCGTTCATCTTGATGATGAGTTTTGCGGCCAAGTGATCCTGCAGGATGTTCTTTCCGCGTGGAGAGGCCAGGACAAAGGCCACGTAGACCACACAAGCAGCAATGAAGGCCTGCTCGTAGTTGGACAAGTCCTTTGAACTCGTGCCATCGATGATGCCAGCAATCACTTGCATGACCTTGACAAAAGGCTGCTTGATTAGATCCAAAAACTTGGGATGTTGGTGTGGCAAATACATTGCAGCCGTCCCTAGGGCCAGAACCATCCACATGATTGTGTCTGGATCCAGAACTTCTTGCAAGCCTGCCTTCTTCTGTCCCATGGCGGCCAAAGACTCGTCATTCAGCTGCACATGAGTGAATTGAATCACGAGCTGGGTGACTTCAATAATGTTGAAGACAGTCAAAGGGACCTCCTCTGGACCACCCGTGCCCGGCTTCCGTTTCAGGACCTTGACAGCCTGGCTCCTTGCGACTTGAACCTTTGAATCGACCTCGTAGGTCACCATCGCTCGAGGAAAGAAACGTAGCATCAGCATGGCACCAGCAAGTACAGGATCATCCTCACGCTTCACGTCACCTCGTTGCAAAGCCTCAACTGCTTTGCTTGACCTGCCAGAAACAATGTCACCAGCTTGCACCTCGGCTGCATAGTCTGACAGCCTCTTAGGTTGCTCCAAGGCATCTCGTCCGTTCAAGTAGAGGAACACCAACAGGCCATCCACCACAACGGTGACAGCCACAGGCATGGCCTGGTCCGTCAATGTCAAGCACGATTGAGCGGACTCCAGCCGTCCGCTCTTCGTGCGCACTTGCACCCAAACGGTAAAATCCTCCAGGCTCACGTAGACATTGGGCAAGTTGTTTTCACTGACGATCAGTGCCTGGAAGGCAGGACCAGTTGCTTGAACACAGAGCTCCCGCTTCACAGCCACTACAAACATCAGAGTGTAGGAGGGAAATGCTGCGGGATGTGCTCCAAAGCTTCCAACTTTTCCATCAGCATCTTCACCGACTTTCGGGTTCCGAAAGGCGCGAAGGAGTCGTTCAGCATCGTGCGGATGGAAACACCCAATGGGGCGCTCGCGTTTTTCCAGAATACATCCTTTGTCTTGCAGTTCCGCAGAGGCTTGAGGCAGTCCCAAGGCTGACAAACAAAAAAGGGCAGCATTTTGCAATCGAATGGTGGCATTGACTTCAGCTGTGCCAGTTTCGTTCCTTGCAATGACGTTCTCTCGGTGCGCTCGTCGGGCATCGGCCGACAAACAGTTCTGCAATCCCGTGGAAAACATCGACTTCTCCGCCATCAGGAGCTCGGCCGAGCGATGCTCATCGCCTGCCACGCAGTGTCCCAACAGATGGACGACGCACGATTGCTCCAAGAAGAAACGTTCAGCCATCTCCAAGCCAATCAAATAATCAAAGAGCTTCACCAACTTTCCCAGGTGTGGCATCAAGGCACCCTTGTCTTCTGCACGTAGAATCAACAAATCAATGGATTTCAAGATGGCACTCGAAGCGGTCATTCCTTTGGACCGAAGCGAGGGTTGGGTCAAATGTACCAGCATGGTAAAGACGCACCCAAGTGCTTTGGCACGACTGTCACCCGTAACCGCGCCGCTGCTTCCAGCGCCGCTACTTCCAGCGCCGCTGCTTCCAGCGGAAGCGGCCACTTTGTACTCTGCGTTGCAGCCATCCATGACCAACCACAAGAGCCTCTCCGAGCGAGATTTCAGCTCTGGCCAGACTGGCAAGAGAAGAGGGCTTTGAGGGTCTTCCTCGTACTGCAAAAGGGAGATGCTCTTGATTGTGAAGACCTTCTCGCAGTTTGCACCATCTGCAAATATTCCAAGGAAGTCGGTTGCACGACTTGCTGCGTTGCAGAATCCAAGCCTGTTGAGCTCCAAGTCTTTTTGGAAGACAGCATTCACCGCTGTTTTGCACAAGTGCATGGATGACATGTGATCCTGGTGAATTTGAAAGACCACTCTCATCAACTCACCTTCCAGGAAAGCTGCCTCATCCAAGTACTCCATTTGCGGCTCTGATTGACCACCAATCAGTGTGTAACATCGCCGAAACTGTGCAATATCCGCAATGTCTGTATCTGGCATGAAATAGATCTCCAGCTGACCTAGGCGGAAGCCAAAGCGCTTCTGGACAGAGGAGGACACCTCACCCAGGTTGTCAATCGAGAAATAGAAAGAGACAGTCATCTCGCGCAAAGAACCAAAGTTCAAAGGAGGTATGTACAAAGCTGCATAGCTATAAGAGGTAAAGTGAAGTTGACCATTCTTCACCACAGCGTTGTCACTGGCTGATACATCACATTTGAAGAAGGTGTACTTTTCCGTAAAGTCCCCGAAGTCGCTGGCCGCTTTGTCCAACGGAAGCACATCCAAGCGAGAATGCTGCAAGACGCGCTCAATGAGATGGGGCTGCTCTTGGAGAAAGTAGGTTGCTGCAATGGAATGGTCATATCCGGCAAAGAGTTCCCAAATCTGGTGAAATGCATCGCAAATTTCACGCTCATTCCACCCGTCCAAATTCTCAAAGGATCGCAAGATCTCGGCATGCTCCGATTGCACAAGAGCTGACATGGCCGGTCTTCGGTCTCACAGCTCGATCATCGGTCATCGGTCACAGCTGGCACCGAAATTGCTGACGTGCCATCGCCGGTGGATTAGGTGCACTGATGTTGATATAGCATGATATAGCCCTTGTGTATACTAGTGTTAGTGTATGAGAATCTATGGTGAAATATGGTGCAATATGATGAATAATTGAAATTGTAGCAGGTGATTGTCAGCTTCAAACGTGCATCCGAACGCATCCCCTCAGGCTCTCTACGTTCGCTTCGCTGTGTCGCGGCAGTCTCCGTGTCTCTTTGCTCACTCACCCTCTGTGTGACCGTGCGACCCCTCTGTTTAGCCATTCTGAGTCATAATTACGTAGCAACTTTGAGCCAAACATAGCACCAACAGTCTGATCACTTTAAGTCTTTGAGTCATCAGCAAAGAAAGCTGTGCATTGGGAAGCATTGCAAAGTGTCCTTCCTGTACAAGTCTCCGCTGGTGCAAGCAAACTCTCAAAAGTGGTCAACTTAAACACAGTTCACGTGCATCCCTTGCAAATCTGAGAGATTTGTGTATTTACTCAACGCAAAAGACAAAGGATGATCTATGTACAAGGCATCCCCCTCAGGACTGCTTGTAGACTCCCCAGCTGTAGCCGGTTCTGTCGCCAGTGATCACAGTTTTCTCGCTGACGAACCTTGGCAGGTTTATCTTTGTTAAATGTCGAAAGTGGGGTCTGAAGTCCGAGGCTCTTCAATCAGAGTAATCCTCATGTGATTGTGCAAGTTTGCTCAGTTGTGCTGCTGCAAACGTACTGTTCAAGTACAATCTCAGTGAGCCCCATCAAAGAACACCGATTCAATGGAAAAACTATTAAAGGCGCTGATGGGCTCTGCTCTTGGCTGCTTCCACGTGCTTACGAGTCTCTCGTTGTTCCATTCACTGAAATGGGTCTTCCACTACAGGTCGTGCCAGTCAGCTTGTTACATGTGCTTCTACATCCTGCTGGTAGAGTTTGGTGAACATGGGGCAACAATAGGCAAAAATATCAAACACACCAACAAATCAACTGTTGCAACAAATTCTATGATCTGGGCTCTGGCTCCAGAGAACCGGCTGAGAGCCACTCTCTTTGAGGCCAGCAATGCCCTGCTCAAAGCCAAATCCACTGGCTTTGCCCTGGCAAGATGCAATTGGATTTCAACCAGTTGCTTTCATCCAACTCTAAGCTGGAACTTGGCGCATGTTGAGTGTTTGTGCGCACATAGCTGTTCAATGCATATACCGTATACCTGTTATGTCGCATGTGTGATGTGAAAGTAAGCTTTGCAGTTGATCGAAAACTGAAGATCGTGTTTAGAATAGTGCGTGTGTCTTCTCTCCTGCAGGAAGGGAGGGAGGGAGGGAGCGAGAGAGAGAGAGAGGGAGAGAGAGAAAGAGAAAGAGAAGGAGAGAAAGAGAAAGAGAGGGAGAGAGAGAAAGACAAAGAGAGAAAGAGAGACAGAGAGAGACAGAGAGAGACAGAGAGAGGGAGAGAGAGAGCGAGAGCGAGAGAGGGAGAGAGAGAGAGGGATACAGAGAGAGAGAGAGAGACAGAGAGAGAGAGAGAGACAGAGAGAGAGAGAGAGACAGAGCGAGAGAGAGAGAGAGAGACAGAGAGAGAGAGAGAGACAGAGAGAGAGAGGGGGAGAGAGAAAGAAGCGAGCGAGCGAGCGAGAGATTCCTCCTCAATAGCAGCGACCTACATGGTTCGTAGGAAAAGGAAGGAGTTTGTATCGAAGACTAAACATGACAGAACATTAGGATCATCTGGTAAAATGGGCATGGAATTGAAGAGTTCTGATTCTACTCAAATGTCCAGGCAAAAAGATTCATGCAACTGTGCCAAATGCAGCAATGCAAACCTTTTGTCAGGGAATCCAATTGCTACTGCGGAAGGCAAACAACATTCTGATTATGTAACTCCTTGGGTGCAGTTTATCTATGGGTTCAACTCGATCATGTTTGATATGTATTACTGTTGTGTCATTATCTTTCTACCGGGTTGGCTCTGGCTAAAGGCATGAAGGAATCTAGATTGTGTTTGAATGCCTTGACTCTTGCGGAGCATCACATAACAGTCCAGGCTGGGTGCTTCTGTAGCAGCATATACCCCAAATCGCTTCTTAGGAACAATCTTGCACGCCGTTTTCACCTGTCTTCCGCCAAAAGGTGTCGATGGAAACAAAACCTGCCAGGGTTGACAGTGAATGACTGTACTGTATTGCACAAAGGCACTTGGGAGGGATTGCTTGCAGAAATCTTCTTCAACATGTTGAGATGTGATTTGATTCAGTTGATTATGGTTTCTCTTGGTTTCTCCGTACAATACCTGAGAAGCCAAGAAATGGCACCTTCAGCACTTGCATATCATGTTTTGGCAGAGTCTCGCAGTTTGACATGACCCAGTGATACTACACCAAAACGATCCTACGCGCGCCCGCCTGAGAGCAGTTTTCCCAAACCACTCCAGACTTGAGTTGAGCAGCAACACGTTGCGTTCGAGCTCGATCAGCAGACCACACCTGCAGATGGGGACAGCACTCAAAAAACGTTTCATGTTGATCAAGCTATAGGGCCAGCACCGCGTTGGCCAGTCCGTACGGAGTGTCATTGGCAAGTCGAATGGCCTGAAAAGCATCTCAACGGGGTATCTGATTGTTTATTGGTACTCTAATGAGGTCTGACAATCAAGGGCTCTCTAGCTCGAAGTCTTGCCAAACTCATCTTGCCCAAAGAAAAACTTAAATATTTGTTTACTTTAACATCTTTGAACTATATAACACAACTAACATGCGCTCAGTGCCAGATTCACAAGCCGCCTCTTCCTCTGTCCGGAAAGACCTGAAGAAAGGGTTGCAAAAACAGAATCGTCTTCGTGACTTGCAGCAAAATTTGAAAAGGACAGTGTACATAGTATTAATCATTATTGATGGTTGATCAGCAAGGAATCGGAGAATCCTTTACGCGCTGTGAGGGCGCAAGTGTGGGGGGGACAAGTGGAGACACTTCCGCTCACCTGCTCTGCCAACGATTGCCTTGTATTTCTACCATAATATGTCGGTCAGTAGAAAGGAAAGAATATGAACGCGAGACCTTCGATTCTTCGATAAATCTTTCGCGAGAAAAAAATAAACAAATACTTTCGCGAACCTCATAGCGGATCTTTCGCGGATGGTTTGGATAGCATCTGAAAGGCTATGTATATGAATTACCCCTTAGACGCCTCTTTGGATCAACTCCCACATCACAGGAGATCTATCATGCTTGGTTGGACAACTGGACAGGTCCAAATCTCTATTTAATCACTGCAAACAAAAAGGATCAAAAAGGAGGTTCAAAATCAGAGGCCCATGCATGTGAGGAATGTTCAAACTCAACTCTCTCAAAGAATATGGGACTATTTACGAGTGCAAATGTGAGTTCTGTCCGCTCCTCCATGATTCCCCCATAGCCCCAACCGGCATAGGTCTCGCGCCTGATGGCCAGGACTGGTCCGAAGATCTCCTGCTTCCATGCTGCAGAGCTCTCAGCCCTTAGGCACTGTCGGTGGCGACAACGAGCCCCTGCTGTCCCGTCCGAGCGGCACCCGCGTTCAGGGCCCGGCAAGTTGGAGAGAACCGTGGGAGGCACATAGTAGCCTCTCCGGTGGCTGAGAAGTCGTCCACTCGCATCGCTGAGGAGTTGGTGGGCCTTTTCCATGGTGCCTTTTTCACCGGCCTTGCTGCAACTCCTTTGGCAGCTCCAAGGGTACTGAATGGATCTTCCCGCCATCCGCTTCCGCCTCAGACGCCATGGGCCGCTGATGGGCCAACAATCCCTCAGGTGCCCACAATCCATCCATCCCTCCTGCTGGATCATTCCAAGCACCTTCTGCTGCTGCCCCTGGTAGTGAAAGGACCAACGGGCTGAACACGCAAAAGACGGGGTTTCCGCCCAAGGCTTGAGGGAAGAAGGCGCCTCTGAGACCACAGGACCCATCAAGGTTCCCTTCTGCAAGGGATCCCCGACTTTGATGCTCCTGGTAACACTCCGATCTCGACATGCATCACTTCCATCTCCCAGGTCTCGTCAGGTTACGCGAAACTAGAAGAAAGGTCATTTGGGCAACAAACATGGAGCCATTCTTTGGCGGCTGCGCACGATCTCCCCACATATTCCAGTTGCTCCTGATGCCCTCAAGCAGCCGCTCCACAAGCTTGGCCTCCAAACTTTCGTGGATCAGCAGGCGGCTTGTTGCTGAACCTGGTTCTGTGGAACACTGCAACAAACACTGACCCTTCTACTTCGTGTCTTGGCTGGTCCGTGCACCTGGGGCTCCGGGCACACCTGACCGGTGCATTGGAAAATACCCACCATGACCTGAGTCTCAGGTCCGGTCCGACGCCCCGTGTGACCGCCGTGGTCGACGGTTGGGGCTCGAACCCAGTCCACGAGATGATCCAAGTCATCTGCGGCGTCCTGGGAGTGGATTGCGGTGAACAAGCGCAGTGTCTGGACCGCACAGAGCTGCTGAAAAGGCTGTCCAGACTGCACATTGCTTGGAGAATTCATTCGTTCTGTGGTCCCGGCTTCAAATACAATAAAGGCTGACTTTCCACCCAACTCCTGAGTACTTCGAGCAACACAAGTTCAACAACAAGGATCGAGAGCCGTACCAAGCAAGTCGGGCGTAGCTTCGATGCAGAGGCCTGAGGCAACTGGAGCAGATCAGGGCGAAAGCCAAGCTAGCTAAGCCTGGCAGGTTACCTGCCAAAAGAATTTAACTATACAAAAAAACTCTTGCAAAAAGCTCAAACCTCCAGCATCTTTTGTCCAGCACTTCCGCTTCCCGTGAAGGATACCTGCATCTGGCATGATGATCAAGCAATATGTATATATATATACATATGTTGATGTGAAAATACTGAAACACGAGTCAGAGTTTGCCCCACCTTGTCCAACATGCTGTGATCGATGAGGTACTGCCCTGTGCTACCTCCACCTGCGTGCAGCCCAGAGCAAAATCTGACAAATCAAGCTTGCTCCATCTCTTGCCCACCAGCATTCCCCCGAGCACCTTCCAGCACTTCCGGTGGTCCACCAGTGATGACGTTCAGAGCTCCTTCGGCCCAGCGACTCAACCATCCAGGGAGCCATGAGTGGAAGAAGCCACCGAAGCGGCATCAATTCAATGGACACCGGACGTACTTATCATACTTTGGGAGGACAGCGTAAATGTTATCCAAATTTCAACAGAACATCCCATGCTTCTGTTCATCTACTTGGCTTGAGTTTTGTGTAGGGCGCTGTTCGTTGAAAGGCATGAAAAGTCGTAAAATTCAAGCCCTTTCTAATGTCCTGGTGGTGCACCAGCTGCTGCCACTAGCTCTCCCAATGCGCAGCAAGTCAACGATGCCAAAGGTGAGGGTTTCAAGACCACGGCACAGCCTGTGTTTGGCATCTGCTCCAGAGATCAGCTGCTAAGCTATACTGGGCTATACTCATAGACTGGCTCGTGGTGGCTCTCCCAAACCCAGGCTCGTTGCACGGGGCGCTCTGCTCTTTGGGATCTTTGGGGCGCCAAAACATCGCCATCGTCCAACTCTTCAGCTGCGCTCGTGTCACGTTCAACAGCGTCATGCCGCTCTCATGAAACACTCATGTCGCATCATGTCGCATGATGTCGCCTGCAGCGAGCGCCGGGGCAACTTTCAGGACCTCGGTCAGGTGAGCATGGGGGCCTTCTCAAACAAAAGGGTGCAAGCATGCATCTTCAAGGGTCATCGGATGATCATCGGATGATCCAAAAAAGGAAAGATCAATCACTTGAGCTTTCACGCCGCTTGCATCAAAGGAAAATTCCATGGAGTGATGCACCTCACCGGGGGCCGGTCGCCCATGCGCTGTTCCCTTCGTTTCAACACGCGACGGACGCAGCGGCGACTCCAAGCCCCGAGCCCAACCACTCCCAGGGGCTCCACAGCGATCCTCGCTCCCAGCGGTTTGGAGGATCGTCCGGATGCACAGTGGTGTGGCACGGTGGGTGGCAGCATGCCACCATGGGCCATTCAAAAGGCCATTCAGAAGGCTAGCGATTTGGGGGGGGATGTGAACCAAGCATCTCGCCTTGCGTAGAAGTGAGTGGCACCAGCTCCAACACTCGGATACGTTGTCTTCATGGTCTCCGGTGCAACCTGGCAGACAGACTCCAAAAGCCAAGCACTAGGCCGGCGGCCGTAGGTTCCACGGCCGTGCACAGCGGTGCCTCTGCGTAGTAGTCAAAGGTATCCGCGCAAACACCAAGATCTCCTTGACCTCAACAAGTCTGGAATCTTTGGTGAATAACTGTATCTCCCCCCTCAGTTTTCGAATGATACAACTCTCAGTTTGGGCTCCTGCTTTCAGAAAAGGGTTTTCCACAGTCCCGGCTTTCAATGACCTTGGTCAGCCGGCGCCAAAGCATCAAGGGCGCCTAAAGCATCTCAGTTAGGCCAAGTAAAGGGAGCCAAGGGGCACAAAGGGCATCGCAAACCTGGGTCAACAAAGCAGCATCCGCCCGTCCAGAGTGACATGTGTACACCTGTCCACAGCCAACATGATAACAAAGATCATCAAACATCCTGTGTTTTTCCTTTGCCTCATAGAGTGTCAAAAAGCTCACGAGTGACCTAAAAAGCATTTTACCTCACCTCAAAATACATTAGACTTGAGTGCCCGTCCTGCGCTCGTCCCCCTTCGTCCCTGCCCTTCGTCTCACCGTGACCGTCACCGTCCACTGCGACCGTGACCGTCGCCTCCGGCGTTCGGAGAGCTGCAGCGATCCTCTTGAGGATCTCCACCCTCGCCTCGGCAGGAGACCCCCAAACAGTGTGTGTGAGGAACCCCTAAGAACCCCAAGTGTGTCCACACAGTTTCGGGGAAAACAAAGAACATTAACATATGAGTCTGAGGACATCCTTGCTGCGCAAAGTCGCTCCGAAATGACTCCTGGATTCTTGAGTTTACAACATAACAGGAGTTCACCATTATACCATGTTTCGCCTGCACATCTTGCTGGGGCCAACAATCATGGTCGAAACATCTCCTGCAACGCACATGGAACGCACACGCAACAAAGCTTGTAAGCAGGGTGGTGCAGGTGCCTGGTTTAAACGGTTTAAACAATTGAAGAGTTTAGACGGTTTATATAAACGTGTTTAGCCCACACTGCTTGTAAGCTTCACGGTTCTCTTGCTGTGCCTTGCAGATTGCACTGCTCGATCAACGTCACGAGCAGAAGCATGAGCAATGCTTGCCTTGGCTGGAAGTAGAATGAAGGCCTGCATAGAAGCATGAACGAGCTGGAGGAAAGATTACATAAGTAGATGACAAAAGGTTTGCCATCTACAGGTGACAATACAGGTAGCCGTCCTCCTTCGGCCTCAGCAAATGCGAGCATCGATGGAACATTGTGTGAGCATCTTTGATTCATTGCCCGTGCCTCGACGTATTGGTTATCAATAAACAGCCGGCTTGTTCTGGAGATGACGTCATCAGCTTTGGAGATTGCCTTGCCCAGGCACGGACGAAAGATACGAAGGCACTGGCGATTTGCTCCTTCAGGTCATGCCTCTGCTGGTGCAGCCATCTCGCTGAACCACCTTTTGCCAAATTGAGTAATATAATTTCAGCAGAAAGAAATGAAGGATCAAAAAAGAATCAAAAAAATTAACTCTTAGTGTGCAAGTGAAACCACATCAAAACACTGATCACTCGTTTCCACGCAACGCCTCTGTTTGCACGGCGCCGTTAAACAAAGATGCCTTGCCTCGAGGTGGCCCGACATCGAGGAAGAGCGGACACACATGGCAAAGCGCGCAGCATGATTTGGAATGCGAACTCTACGAAGACGGTTGCTCAAGTCAAGCGGGATCCAAGTCATTGTAAGTGGTTTTGTTGCGTTCCTTCTCTCAACTTGGTATAACTTGCTCCTTGGATGATGCGATATGCATCATGATATCCTTCACTTGCATATGCTTGAGAGTGAGACCCATTAACACAGAAAGAACTTGCGATTACAAATACTTGGTGTGACAATCATCCGTACACAGAATCACAAAGGCGGCTCGTGCGAGTGACACGATCACGCTTTCTTGACCCGGCCAAAAGAGTTCCTCTGGTGGAACGGACCGGCCGAGTGAAATTCCAAGGGCCGGTTGAGCCTGCACCTCCATTCCAAGATGGGTGCAGCAACCATCTCATAACACTTCCCCCCTTCTAAAATCTACCAAAGCCAAGGCTGCCATAGCAATCAAAGTAGGAACTGTGCATCTGTCTGTGACTATCACTATATCCAATCCTCTGGGCTTTCAGCCGAGAACGGCTCATTTTGAGACGTCCTGTCTGGGGGTCTCCTGATCCTTCGCCGGTGCCAACGTCTGTCAGTTCCGTCCGTTCCGCGCGGGTTCCCGAGTGGAGGCTGTTGGACACCTGGGAAGGTGGCCGAAGGACCAAAACTCTGCTTGGAACCCCCATCAACTCTGCTTGGAACAAGGGACTCGGCACAAATGCCAAGTCTGTTTACCATGCACGAATTTATCTGCCATCAAATCAAGAAGGCCAAGGTGGAAAATGCCTGTAGACCGTAGACCTGAAAAAACTAAGATTTGGGAACTTCCCAAATAAATGCCATCTCTATCATGATCTATCCACTTGTCTGAAACCTGCTTCGTTCTCTATGCGCCAACAGTCTTCTCTCGGGGCACCCAGTCAAAACTGATCAAATCTCAAGCTTTCGATGCCCCAAACACATAGATCCCGTGTGTATGTATGACATAATGCCTTCTACAGCGCTAGACATCTCCCCAAACCTGGACGTCGAACTTGCTGATCGTCTGTGCTGAGCTACTAATGGATGCCCCAACAAAAAAAAATCTTGAGACACACTTGCGATCTTCTCATTGTGTTGGTAAGATGCCCACAAAACAGGAAACTCCACTCCACAAAAAAAAACTTCCATGTGCCAAGCCCTCAACACAGGTGGCCTTGAAACTTTCCGAAGCACCCTCAATGCACCAAGTCACGTGGGATCATCTGCCAGTCAGCTGAGGCCGCATCACCAGCCGCCCATCGTGGCCAAGACGTCCGAGACGGAAACTCCGGAAAACAGATTTCCAGATGCTCTCGGTAGGGATACAATTGACCTCCAAACTGCCTTGCCTGTGGAGCTTGGTCGCTTCAATCTCCTGAGAGGACTTCAAGGGAGAAGATACTCAAAGATCTCAAAGGCAAAGCAGGCTGGATTGCATGACAACAACTCTTGCGACTTTCTTTGCTCTGACGTCAAAGGTCAGCTAAGTTTGACCTGCCCTGCTTTTTTGGAAGGCGTCTGAATCTGTTCAGGCATTGCAGGGCAGCGCCAAATTATCCAGATTGCTATTCACACTTGTGTACATGTGAGTTCGATACTCACCTTCATGTCATGCTGTGAATTGGCCAGCAGTGCCATTTCTAGCATGCTTTGGGTCTGCTTTCGGAAATTCTTGGGCTGGACAAACTAAGCATACTCAAGAGCTTAAGGAGCGGTTTGTCGCGATTCCGAAGAAATCATGGAACGATCCCAAAGCAGCTCGGCGTCAAATTTTGCTGTCACACATCAAAGATCATGGCAAAAGAATCTCCTGCTCAGGGCTCAGATTTACCCAGTTCAAGGGCAAACAAAAAAAGGCATGTGTCTTTTGTGTCTGATCCGTGCAAAACCTTCTGTATAAATATGTAGAAGCTCCAGCTCGTGAGAATTGAAATCACCTGCTGTTTTCTGGCAACTGTGCAACTGGTGTTCTTGACTTCGCTTCAATCTGTCCAAGTGAAAATATCCAACCTTCAAACTTGAGCATGCGCAGGCGCTTGACCTCACATTGAGGTGTTTGTGCGTTCGAACTCCGGCCATGATCGTTCAAAAGTTGAATACTGAAAGCATCCAAGATCAATGCATATGTATATAGATTAATATTACTATTAATTAATAATATGTGATCATATACAGTAGTCCTTCACATCATGTATCTTTTGCATCTGACCCCCTCTCACTCGGTATTTGCACCCTGAGCCATGACTTGCCGTTGCCCTTGCTGGCAAATCTTTGAACAATACTGACTGTCTCATATTGTGGATTGACGGATTGAATGGTGGTAAAGCCTTCCATTGTGCAGACTCCCAGTCCAGTGAAGTCTGGCAGTGGACAGAACGAAACTCAAGTGGAACAAGTGTATTCTCAATACAGAGACCCTCGGGCCCAATGTGCAGACTGGAGTCTATTGTCCTATTGTCCCAGGGGGTGACCGCCTGGGAGGACCTCCCTGTTTTAAAGATCCTGCCATTCGCGCGCGCGCGCGCGCTCTCTCTCTCTCTCTCCCTCTCTCTCTCTTAGTCCAAGGAACCCAAGTTCAATGACGGCATTGGAATCTCGTAGCTACCCTTCACACGGGAGTTGGTGGGATCGAAGGGCGCCTGACTGCAGACTGTGTAACAGCTGCATCGATCGAACAAGCACTTTGAAGCCGAAATGAACAACAAATACTTGGGTGCAAATGACACCAGCCTTCAGGTGCAGCTTGGCAGCGTGCTTGGTGCCCTTGTCTCCGATCTGCCACTCTCCAGCTTCCAGCCATTTGTTGGTGATCTTCGCCTCAGACCTGGAGCTGAAAATAAGATGGATCAAGACTCAGTCGAGTCGAAACCTTAAAAGTCATGATTCATGCAAGGTTACCAGGGTGTGGTGTGGATGATAGATTTGATCTGTCATCTCAATGCAAAACTGCAACGCAACGCCTGGGGCAGTCCACGTACCCATAGGCGATGGAGCGTCCAATCGTGTGCCCATAGGCAGTGGAACGGACATAGCCCACACACTCACCATTTCTCCAAAGACTCTCAGCACCATGAAGTGGAACATCTCCAGATTCCAAGACCAAACAGACCAGTTTCCGCTGTAGCCCTTGGTGTCGCTGCTGCTCCAAAGCTTCCCGTCCCAGGAATCGTGGAGCATTGTCACCGGTCCTTTTGAGCTTCGAGAGGACGGTGAATCCAATTCCAGACTCTAAAGGTGTGTCACGATTGCTCAAATCTGCATGCCAATGCCTCAAGTTCTTCTCGGCAGACAAGCTATCAATGGCTCGATAGCCCGCATCCCGAACTGGAATGCACTCAGACTGTGCTAGTGCCTCACCAGCCGCGCGCACAGCCTGATAGACTGCGACCGCGGATTCCGAGGGAACGTGGAGTTCAAAGCCCAGCTCTCCAACAAACGTCAGCCGCAGAGCCAAAAACTGACACCCGGCGATTTGGACCCACCTGGCAGAAGAAAATGGAAAGGCATCGTTGTCCATGTCGGCGGACGTCAGCGACTGTAAGAGCTTCCGGCTGTATGGTCCCTGCACAGACATCAAAGTGAGTGAATCACTTTCATCATCGATCCTGGCATTGAAATTGCCATCCTCAAGGACTCTTCGGATCCATGCAAGATCTTTGGTGGCTGTATTCCCCCCAGCTGCAAAGTAGTAGTAGCTGCTTCCATTGCTCTCCTGTAATTTGGTGACCGTGAGGTCCGCTTCAACCCCTCCTCGAGAGTTACACAAGGGCGTGTAAGTCACTGATCCTACAGGCTTTCCTTCCATATCAGCACCACATAAGAACTGTACGGCCTTATCTGCCTCTGGACCCCTCAAATAGAACTTTCCAAAGTAGGACTGGTCGAAGAATGCAACGCCTTCGCGTGCAGCTCGACATTCCTCTGCAACAGTGCGATGGCTCGATGGCCATTCAAAAGTAAGCTCATCTTCAATGAGATCCAAATATTTGTGCTCTGCGTGCCTCGGAACATCTGGATGGTCTTGTTCACCCAATCGCCAAGCTCCTTCCTCATAGGCGCCATAGTAATCGTAGCTCTTGGGTTCCTGGGAGCCGGGTACGAGGGAAGTCTCGAACCAGCCAGGTCGTTCAAAGCCATGCCGTGCCTGGTAGACACAGCCACGGCTCAGTAGCTCATCATAGAGAGCAGACTTGCGACTACCCCGGCCTGCAAGGGCCTCATCATGTGGGAACACAATGGCATAGGTCTTGGCATAGCTCTCATGAGTGCGGTCCTTCACCCACCGGGCATCTCGCACGCTCTGCGGATGGAAGCGAGCACAGTCAAAGCTGAAGAGATCCACCTCAGGAGAGCCAGTGAGAATCCACTTGGTCATCTCCCGGCCCACTCCTCCACCCAGCATCAAGCCCATGGAATTGAAGCCACAAGCCAAATAGAAACCCCTCAGACCTGGGAATGGCCCCATGAGTGGCTTATGATCAGGAGTGAAGGACTCAGGCCCACAGACAGTGGATTTGATGCCGGTCTCTTCGATGACAGGGCATCGTTGCATGTGACCGGCGAGGTTCTGGCCAAAGGTGTCATAGTCGAGCTCGAAGAGGCCAAAGGCAAATTGAGGATCGACATCTGGCCAGAACTCGGGATTCTGCTCGTAGCCGCCAATGGCCATGGAATCTCCTTGCGTCTTAAGATAAACGCTGAGATCATGATCTCTCACATTGGGCAGTCCGCTGTGCATGCCTTCGATTGGCTCAGTCAGTACCATTGCATGTTTCATGGCTTTCAATGGAATTTCCACACCAACCATGGAAGCAACTTCATTGGCCCATGCACCACCGGCATTGACCACCGTTCTGGTTTCGATCCGCTTCCCACACGCAGTGAGCACTGCTTGCACCCGCCGGGAGTTGCTGCCTCCCAAAGTCATGTAGTCCTTCCCAAAGCAAAAGGACGAATTGTTTACAAATGTCGATGCTGCACTCAACACAGCTGATAGCCTTCACTCAGGCCGGAAGTAACCTGAATCATCCTATATAAATCATCCGGATTGTCTTTGCATGTACCAGGACCCTCCTGTCGGGGTGTCTTGGCTGGACTACCCCACACTACCGGCCTAGGCTTCCAGACAGGGCACCCCGACAGGAGGGTCCTGGTATGTTCTGCTTCGTGGTCTCTACGTCTCGATCCCTCTCATTCAATACCTTACCCGGAATGGAATCCTCCAGAGGCCCACATCCAACCACCACAGAGGCCCATTGGGTCCTCCACCTCAATCCCACTCACTGCAACGTTCTCATAGATGCCGCCACCAAACTTCCGGGCAGCCTTCGCGTAGGCATTGCAGATGCTTGTGGGATCGATGGTGCCATCGCCAGGCGAATAGACACCTCCATAGATGTCATCCACCCGCAGCAGGGGGTGCACCTGAAACATGTATGTATCATGTCAATGTATACCCCATTGCTTCCAGAGAAGAATGGTCTTGAATTCCGAATATAGATGATAATAGGTTCTTTGGGGTTCTTCATCGCTCTTCTGTTGATGCTTTATGATGTGGCATCAATACATCGAAGCAGATCTCCGTTGTGTGAAGACCCTTCACGCCCTTCTTCCTCCTCGTGTCTGTTACCCAAACTTAAGAATTGCTGTACTCTGCATCTTTCGCTCACCTGTATAATTCAACTAATTCAACACTTCAAGACCCGCTGGCTTCATCGAAACATACCGGTGCTCACCTCCTTCACTTCGGCCGGTGAAAGCACATGGCTCTCGATGCCGAAGTACTTCCCCGTCTCCGCAAAGCGCCGATACTCCGCCAGGCGCTCCGCGTTGGTCCCCACAAAGAGGCCACCGTTCTCGGTCCAACTGGCGATCTCCGTTTCGGCCTCCCGGAAAATCGGTGTACGCGTGGGCTTGACTCAGGGGGGATGCAACTCAGCTTTCGGGGCCATGCCATGTCCCGTGTTGCTTTCTTCCCTCAAATGGAGTCACCAATTCCGGATGCGCACGGGGCGCTTGCGCCGTGGACCGTCTGCCTCAAGCTGCTTGCACATGTCCCCTTGGTCGGCCCACCGTGAGTCGGACTCGGAGACACCGGCAGAGCCCTGGGGCTTCGGGGGGACCCTCGAATCCCTTTCCATGTGGGGTGACCATGATTCCTGGTTCTTAGGGGGCCAAAAAAATCCTCTGTGGCATTCCCGGAGATTCCTGAGCCTCTGGCGTGAGTAAGCATTCAGCTCGATGTCGGCATCTGAGGGCCGCAAGCGCCAAAGCATCCCTGCTGAATGCCAAGTCCTTAGGTGGCGCGTTATGGCACGTTCGCCTTGGCGCATTCTTTTGAACTGAAGGAGGAGGTGAAGTCCGTTGTATTAGAGTTGTATCACCGGACCCTCCAGCCATCACCTCTTCCATGTTTGACAGTCACTGGACCCAGTTCAGGCTTCCGATTCCATGGGCATCTTGAGACAGAACTCATCTTGGACAGGTCGATCAATGGAATGATATTCAATTCATCTATCATCAGCCTTCAGTCTGGAAAGACTTAGCAGTCTCAGTCTGGCACGTGCCGGCAGTGAGTTGATGACGCTCTAGAAGGACAGCGTTCACCCCCTCACGTCGGCGCAGGTCGCCGTTCATCCGCCGACGTGACGTAGCTCGTCCGAGCCTCCTTTCGCAGGTGGTAGAGCGTGGACCTGGACCGGTCGACTGGAGAAGACCACGGAAGGGCCCAATCTAAAACAGCCTAAGGCTTACTCTTTTGTTCTTCCCCCGCTCCCCCTCCTCCCTACTTATGTAGGCCCCTACTTAATTGAGTAAGGGAGAGGTAGCTAGTTGATGCTAGTAGCTAGGACGCTACTAGTATGGACGCAGGATAGCTCGCACTAATGATTTGGTTTCTAGATTTTTGGGGAAAGCCAAACCGTTGGATGAAGCGTTGGACAAACTCCTGCGGTTCAAACACACATTCTAGAGATACCCTATCCACCGTACAAGCCAATGGAAAAGGGGGTGCAGGATTTGGTCGTGCCACCCAGCAAAATACCACCATTTATTGGTACATGACTTGGGTCTATCCTATTGCCAATAACAGTGGATGATGATGGTTAGTCTAGTAAAGGCCTTGTTCAAGAATAGTGATAATAATTGTTTACTGACTGTTAGAGGTAATTGTGGCCCAGAGGGGGGGTGGCGAAAGCTAGGCAAATAAACAACGCTGGGGCTCTTTAGGCAGCAAAAGCCAGGCCGAGGAATCGCAACATGCCATGGCCAAGGGAAAAGGAGAGTGCCAACAGCGCCCCCCCCCAATACGACCCCAACACAGCCAACACGGCAACACACAACCACCCCAGCAACCGCCGCCGCCGCAGCAGCAGCAGCAGCCACAACAACAATAACTGTAACCAGCAGCGGCAGCGGCAGCAAGCAGAAGCTACCAAGCAGCAGCAGAAGCAGCAGCAGGAGTAGCTAGCAAGCAGCAGCACCAGCTACCAAGCAGCAGCAGCAGCAGCAGCAGCAGGAGCAGCTACCAAGCAGCAGCAGCAGGAGCTGCTACCAAGCAGCAGCAGCAGCAGCAGCAGCAGCTACCAAGCAGCAGCAGCAACAGCAGCAGCAGCAGCAGCAGCCAAAGCAGCCAAAGCAGCCAAAGCAGCCAAAGCAGCCAAAGCAGCCAAAGCAGCCAAGCAGCAGCAGCAGCCAAGCAGCAGCAGCAGCCAAGCAGCAGCAGCAGCAGCAGCCAAGCAGCAGCAGCAGCAGCAGCAGCAAAGGCAGCAGCAGCAGCAAAGGCAGCAGCAGCAGCAAAGGCAGCAGCAGCAGCAGTGTTGCGTTGCAACAAGTGCAGCAACCCTGAACCGCATGAATGGCATCAACCGTACCATGACACGAGTTGGGGCAGCGTGACAATAGTATAGTTAATATAGGATGCACAAAGGGAAAACTCAACTACTGCCATGCTTCCACCAAACATCACCAAACTCTTCATCACCCGCTTCCCCCACCGAACTCTTCGCTCATGCCCCAACACGTCAGCAGCAACCAGCAAGCAGCCAAAGGCAATCAGCAGCACCAAGCATGCAAGCAGCAAGAGACCAAGCAGCAGCAGGTACTGAGGAGAAGGGTGGAGTTGAACCCGCAGGGGGGGGGGTTAAAGCCTGATAAATAAATCAGGTATCTGCACTCAGGTCCTCGGCTCCCACCCTCCTTGCTAAAGCAAGACAGACTCCAGCTAGCTACAGCTAGCTTTCGTGAATAGGACAGACCCAATACATGACCTTTGCAGTCCAGTCGCGTTCCGATCGAGCCGCCCCCGATGATCACCACATCAGCCTGCGAGGGCAAATCGCCTCGTTCCAAGGCTCTTCACGTTCTCTGCACCGTCAAACGCGCCAGACATCCCAAAACTGAGAGGCCAGCTACTGGAAGAGTGCCACCTGTCGCGAAAGTGTGTGTGTGTGTAGCAAATACAACATGTGCTCAAACGGGTGGGTCTAAGTATGTCTAAGTCTATCCTTTGAAAGATGCTCTCGGAGAAACGCCTATCCTTTGGACTTCCTTAGTTTCAGTTTCTATTAGTTTCTTGACAGCAACCTTCTATTTGAGCGTGTGAGAACTCGTAACACTACTGCCCAATGCAGAAAACAACCTCAGACCACCCGCGAAAACTCCATGGTAAGGTTTGCAATTATCACTGATCACAACATTCCAAAACAGTCACGTGGAACGAGTCGAGGCTTCTTCGTTCTGCACCTGGTGGCAGATGCGAACCTCGAGGCCAATCTTCGACCGAGGGGAAGCCGGCACCGGGACGCCATACCTGCTGACACTCAGCAGGTGTCTTCTGCACGGGTCTTCAAGGTGACATAATGTCATTAAAGCTACTAGGAACAAGAAGCTTCCAGGGGCTCCTGGCCATAGTACTAGGAGCAAGGACGCTACTAGGGGCTCCTGGCCTTACTACTAGGAGCAAGGACGCTACTAGGGGCTCCTGGCATCGCTACTAGGAACAAGAAGCTACTTACTACAACCTCCTGGCCTTACTACTAGGAGCAAGGACGCTACTAGGGGCTCCTGGCATCGCTACTAGGAGCATTCTTACTAGTAGATTAAAGCTATAATTGAGACCATTGTCGCCTGTTTGCATGTGTGCAAGGCTACTTCCACCGTGCATCTCCGACAGAAGCCATCCAAAGATTGTCTCAAAAGCAACACCGTCGCAGTCAGACGGCCTGAAATTGAGGTGCACCACCGGCAACTATGAGCCTACTAAGTCTTTGCCTTGAGATGCCAAACATTGACCCGTCCCCTGCCTGCTGTCTGCTTGCAAAGCTCTTCTGTTTGACAGTAAGCATTTGTATGGCCATGCAAAAAAAATGAAACATGCTATCTGCTAGCTAAATGCACTGCAGCTACCTAACCACAACTTGCTTCTTCGTCTCATGTTTAAGGTGTGATCTGCAAATGCCTAGAGCCGACAGATTCCAGTTTTCCTCGCTTCCAAAGCTTCCAGGACTTGCCCTCTCACGCTGCCAGCGTAGTCCAAAGGAGACTTGCCCAAAGCATCTTGCATTTCCACATCTGCTGACGCCTCCAGCAAAGCCAGCACTACAGGGAGGTGCGCATCATCAACAAGCTCGATCTTTTCGGAAGTAGCGTCACGTTCCTCGAGTCCAGGTTGCTTCGTTCACGACCAAGTCGCGACACGCTAGCTAGCTACTCACCGGGAGAGCAAATTCCTACCAAATCCCTGAATCTATCATTTTAAAAAATTGGCCTCCCCCCACCAAGAGTGCCAGAACGGATCGGGCCAGAACAAAAAACGGGCCAAGACCTGCCGCCTCACATCTGAAATCACACACCACTAGGGTGAACCCTAAACCCAAAAACCTGGCACTAACTGGACCGATTTACCCACTCCTGAACTGTTTTTTGTGCGTTTGGTAGGGCTTGGTGGCAAGGCTTCGTGGGAAAAAAAACGTCATGACGATCCAATTGACCGTCTGCACCAAACAACTGGTCCCATTTCGAATTTCCAGGTCTCAGTGAGTCTTAAAGTTGCCAAGTGCAAAGCATTGCGACCAAGCTGATCTCTGGCATGCACTTCAGCTGAAGCTTTCAGCAATTCCAAGACCACCTGCTGGTGCCCTCTCATGGCCGCAAGGTGCAGTGAACTACGGCCCTTCCGGTCTGTGCCGTGCACGAGGCACGGATCTGCTTGAAGAAGCTCTAGCACACACTCCACATGGCCATGGAGCGCTGCCAGCATCAATGCAGTGGAGTTCTTGGTTTCTTCACGTCCTTCAGCATCAGCCTTGTGCTGCAAAAGCTTTCGGATCACTCCAGGATGTCCAAATTCCGCCGCCACCTGCAGGGCCGACGTGGAACCGGAGTCCCTTTGCTGCACGTCCGCCTGGCGGACGAGCAGCCAGTCGATCACGTCCACCCGACCACAGCGTGCTGCTTCGTGAAGCGCCGTGCTTCCACTCTGACTCACCTGGAACAGAGCTGAAGTGATACCTGGAAGAGGGATCAGCACGAGTCAATTGGTCATAATTGGGCAAGTTCCCTTGGTGTATCAAGGTTTTGTACCTAACTTTGCCCACGGCATCATTTGGAACCACTTTTTGGGATCGCACCCACCTTTCTCCCAGAGATGCGAAAGTATGCGCAGATGGCCACTCCGTGCAGCTGCCACAGCGGTGGAAGCTGCCGACGTCTGCACCTTTCGCAACAGTTCTGAGCCCCCCCCGCTGCAGAAGAAGCTCCAACGTCTCAACACGACCAGATCGAGCAGCCAAACAGAGAGCTGGCACGGACACCTCGAAGCCAAGTGGAAGATCTGTACCATTGACGATGGCATGCATCTCAGGCCCCCAGGTGGCAGAATTGCCTTCTTCCCAGCCAGCTGCCAATGAAAAGTCATCCAAGTTCCAAGTCGCATGCCACCTTGGTTCACTGCAAACCCGGTGGGTTTTGTGCTGAACGCTGAACCGCGAAAAAGCAAAATGAACAGCTTCGGTGGATCCCATCCATCAGCCCATGGATTCCATGGGGATCGATTTCAAGCCTTGGATGATTAACACTCATGTGGCCGTCGTGCCACAAGGTCTGTCGTCCAAAAGAAAGAACCAGCTTGCGACTCTGCAGCCTGAGGTCCATCCTGCTGGCACCAGGATGATCTCACCAGGATGGGCAACGCAGCAGATCATCCTCTTTGGCCGATGCGTCAGGTACTGCCAAGGAGCCCGTTCTGGAGGCCGACGGCCACCTGGCCGGCGGATCTACGCAGCAAACAGACCGAACAAAGACATGACAGTAAATAGCAAATAATTTGATCTGCGGAGTGAATGACTGCAGCATGCTGGCTAGTGATTGACATGATCAAGAAAATGACGTTAAGTTACGGACATGTACAAACGTCAGGAACAAACAACTATATCAAATATGAAGCAAGCCTTTTCCAGCATAGGAAAGAGTGTTGCGGCTGTGAAGGAGTCTGAAGCAGTGGACATTTGGAGATGGTGTATATTTTCACTGCAAGAAAAAGAAGTAGCGCAAAGAGACAAGGACAAGGCAAGACAAACGAGAAAAAAAAAAACGAGATTTGGTACAAAAGGAAAGCAAATAAAGAAAGAGCGTTAAAAGAAATGAAGGAAGCAGAAGAGGAACTGGAAAACGTAAAGACTGAGACCAATTCTTTCAATTTGGTCCATGAGTTGTATGAGTCAGCCTCGACTTCGCAGCACCAGATGTTTGAACAGCGATCTTTCAAGGCAAGCGATCTTTCTTGGATGATCTTGGATGGTCCTATTTGCCCAAGAATATACTATATAGGTCTATAGATCTCCCTCATCGTCAAAATTCAATAGCATTGGATACAAAACTTGCACAGTCAAAACGAAAGCCTGGTGACCTGGAAGGAGGAACCACAGTTTTCGACCCTGCAGTTGCGCCAGCCACGCGGCACTGTGCCGGTGAAATCCGATCCCTGTGTTGCGTCGACCCACGCTCAAAATGGGGGACCCATGAATCTCCGAAAGAAGCTGTGGTATGGCAAAGCCATCTAGGAGTTCAAGTCTTTCGGCATCAAAATCATTCTCAAAGAGCACACACCTCCTTGAGGCGAACGTGGACGTCAAGTATTCTTTCAGGGTGATGAGGCGATCAGCAGGACCAGCATATCCATATTGATGCAATGAAACGCAGGGACGCAATCGGAACTTCAGCTGTCCAAATCTTCTTATCATATATTCCTTGCTCCAGCTTCGAGCTTCCCAATCATCTGTAAGACCACCCAGGCGCAAGGCGGACAGGTTTTTGGGGCGAAGATGCATCCAAGTCCTTGCATCCGAGAGCGGAAGACCTGTCTCCGCAGCTTCACAAGCTTCGAGCTCTGTGGGGCTTGGCATGGCCCAGGGATCTGAAGGCTCGGTGGGCTCTCCCGTGGCTGCCCTGGCTGCCCTGGCCCTGTATGCAGAGGAGCCTCGATTCCTTCGAAGAGTACAAAGGCCCCCCGAGGCAAAGAAGAGAAAGGCCCGCATGCTGGTGGCGTTGATGTTTGAGCTCGTTCAGAATGAAAGCAGAACGCAGAGATTGCTGGTCGTGTGTGGTCACTGCGCTCGCAGTTGTTCTTCGCAGCTCCAAATGCAAAAGGCGCGGTTCATAGAGGCTGACCTCGCCCTGTAGAGGCTGACCTTGCCAAAGTATCAAGCTGTTTCCGCAATAAGTGCAAAAAGTGTCGCTCCGACTCATTCTTTCAGCGTTGCTTTGAGCCAGTGAAACAGGAGCAAGAAAGACTTGAAATCTCACCCACCACAATCTGAGTTTCCAAGTTTCAGACTTGACACACAAATTCCAACCAAAGGCAGAAGCCTTTGACTTGATGAACTACCGTTGCACAGTCAATGTCCTGGTGCATCGATGCTCTCCATGGCTTCCAGCGCTCGCAAGATCTGCCAGGAATGGACAACATTGCAGCATCAAAGAGTGGCTGTTCATGAGCCTCTGCTGCCTGTTTCACTGGAAGCTGCTTCGGCCTGCACCGAGCAAGGAAGACTTACTGAGATACTGGCCTAAACTTTGTGTAGAACTCATCTGAAGTGGGGGGGCCAGAGTATACTTGATCTGATCTGTCCAGCTGCTCACGGCCGATGCCTGAGCCTGGCCCAGTACCAGCGGCCATAGTCAACGAACAGCTCCTTCGTCTCGTGCCAAAAAACTCCCGTTGATGGTTGACTTGAAAGCGGTGACATTGCGTGTTTTTACAAATGAGGAGGATTAACATACAGTACAATACAGCATATTAAAATCGCCCTTTCGTGTGGTCGTGCGACTCGGATGGACTTGAGGCGAAATCCTCCACGACATGTGGAGAATTTTGCCAATGTTGGAGGACCACCCTTCCTCTACTAGTAGTAACAAGAAGCTACTAGTAACAAGTGCATCGCTACTAGTGACAAGTGCCTTACTAGTAGTAACAAGAAGCTACTAGTAACAAGTGCATCGCTACTGGTAACAAGTGCCTTACTAGTAGTAACAAGAAGCTAGTAGTAACAAGT